AATGTGGGCAGATAGGCTCCTTCAGATGACCTTTGTACCTCCCTGCTATCTGGAAGCTCACGGATACACCACATTTAAGTACCTCCACCAACAGTCTGGTCCCCAAGCAGAGAAATGGGACAGTGCAGCCCTCACACCCCAGACTTTCCAAAACTCTCAAGAAATGTGTATGGCCCACATGTTTGGGCTTCTAACAAAAACTACATTTTCTTATCATCTGGGAAAAAACAAACAAACCTTGCTGCTATTTCCCTACATGGAACTACCCAAGGCATTCTGTGAACTTGGCCAACGTCAGAGCTCAGCCCTGTGCACAGAAAGTCACTGGTCTTTCCCTCAGCTGGGCAGAAGGTCCAAAACATTAGTTGATGGGTTTCTGATCCATATACTGGCAGAGCTTCTCACCAGGGCAAGGTGAGTGGGTGTCCCAGGCTTGGGTTCAGGAGAACCTTCTGGACTTGGATAGAGACACCCACTCTCCCTGAAGCTTGGGGTGCAAATTGAGTCTTCCCCAACCTGTGGTCTGAGAGTTAGGTGAGTCCAGAAAGAAAAGAAGAGAAGGAGAGAGGAAGGGTCATTTCCTCAGCTCCCACCACTGAGGTTTCCACAGAGTTGTTACACAGGGGCTAACAGAGCAATGGGAGCATCGGTCCAGCCATCTTGTAGATGAGATCCTCAGGACCCCAGTGAAATAAAGTTACGCAGCCCCATAACAGGCAAAGTCCCATAACAGGCAGAGCCCCGTTACAGGCAGAACCCCATTACATCTGGACCCAAGCTCCTGAATCCTCTCCCATCACTGCTTTCCCTACTCCTGCAGACAGCAGAAGACCCTGGGCCCTGAGGAACCTCCTGGCAAAGAGATAGGTGCAGACTTACCAAAGCTGACGAGGAGGCAGTGAGGAGGAGGTGAGTGTTCTGTGCATCTGGGCAAAGACTGGTCTCTTTATAAGGCTCAATTGGCTCCTCCCAGGCACTGGGAGCCTTTGGATCATATCTGTCTACTTCCTGGACCATTGTCCCACTCAGGTGGGTGGCACACACCTAGGAGTATGTGTTCAGTATGTGCCAGTAAAATCCCAGGCAACTCCCAAGGGAAAACACCTAGAGCCTTCTTCTGTCCTCACTTCCCTGGGGTCAGGGGTGTGGAATACAATGGGATGTGTTGTAAAAGCACAGGAATTCTGGGACAGAAAACTGGGTTTCTGAACTTAAAGAGGATGGGACTCTGAGACGCATCATGGTCTGTGTTTGCTCATCACCCACTCCTTCCACAATTTTGTTCTGGCATCTAACACAAACTCTCTGCAGCGGTTTATAAGTCCATAACTATACCACGCATCACCTTACCTGTCAAATTAATATTCCTCCTGAACCGTCAAAACCTTATGAGATGGAGCTGTTACCCTCATGTTGAGGATGGGGAATTGAGGGAGTAAGAGGTAAGCAAAGTTCTTATTGTGCACGAGGCTATAGACAGAAAGTTTAAGATATGATCCCAGAACTCCTGATTCAAA